GGTGGTTCTTCTTCTTCTTCTTCTTCTTCTTCTCATCCGTGGTTTCGGTTCCTCGGCCCCGTAACGGGGTGCTTCGGCCCCGTGAGTTGGTGCTTCGGCCCTATAAGTGGTTCCTCACCCCATAACTTGGTCCTTCAGACTCATAACTTGGTGCTTCAGCCCGTAACTGGTTCCTCAGCCCATAATTGGTTCTTCACCCCATAACTTGGTGTTTCAGCCCCATAAATGGTTCTTCAGCCCCATAAGTGGTTCTTCATCCCCATATCTTGGTTCCTCAGCCCGTAACTTGGTTTTTCAGCCCCATAAGTGGTTCTTCAGCCCATAACTTGGTTTTTCAGTTCCGTAACTGGTTCCTCACCCCATAACTTGGTCCATGAGCTCCATAACTTGGTTTCTCACCCCAAAACTTGGTTCCTCAACCCGTAACTTGAGCCTTCATCCCCTAACTTGGTTCCTCACCCCATAACTTGCTCTATCAGTTCCGTAACTGGTTCCTCACCCCATAACTTGGTCCTTCAGCCCCCTAAGTGGTTCTTCACCCCATAATTTGGTTCCTCACCCCATAACTTGGTTCTTCAGCCCCGTATCTTGGTTCCTCACCCCATAAGTTGGTCTTTCAGTCCCATAAGTGGTTCTTCACCCCATAATTTGGTTCCTCACCCCATAACTCGGTTTTTCAGTTCCATAAGTGGTTCTTCATCCCATATCTTGGTTCCTCACCCCATAACTTGGTCTTTCAGTCTCATAAGTGGTTCTTCAGCCCTATATCTTGGTTCCTCAGCCCATAATTGGTTCTTCACCCCATAACTTGGGCTTTCAGCCCCATAAGTGGTTCTTCTCATCCATAACTGGTTCTTCAGCCCCATAACTTGGTTCCTCACCCCATAAGTTGGTCTTTCAGCCCCATAAGTGGTTCCTCACCCCATAACTTGGTTTTTCAGTTCCATAAGTGGTTCTTCACCCCATAACTTGGTTCCTCACCCCATAACTTGGTTCTTCTCATGCATAACTGGTTCCTCACCCCATAACTTGGTCCATGAGCTCCATAACTTGGTCCTTCAGCCCCATAACTTGGTTCCTCGCCCCGTAACCGGGTTCTTCGGCCCCATAAGTGGTTCCTCACCCCATGACTTAGTTCCTCACCCCATAACTTGGTTTCTTCTCATCCGTAACTGGTTCCTCACCCCATAAGTTGGTCTTTCAGCCCCATAAGTGGTTCCTCACCCCATAAGTTGCTCCATCAGTTCCGTAACTGGTTCCTCACCCCATAACTTGGTTCTTCAGCCCCATAAGCGGTTCCTCACCCCATAACTTGGTCCATGAGCTTCATAACTTGGTCCTTCACCCCATAACTTGGTCCCTCACCCCACAACTGGGTTCTCCAGCCCCATAACTGGTTCCTCACCCCATAACTCGGTCCCTCACCCCCTAACTCGGTTTCTCACCCCATAACTCACTTCCTCACCCCCTAACTTGGTCCTTCTCCTCCATAACTGGTTCCTCACCCCATAACTGGTTCCTCACCCCATAACTCAGTCCCTCACCCCACAACCGGGTTCCCCCGCCCCCCAACCGGTCCCCCCCGCCCCCCAACCGTCCCCCGGTGCCCCCCCAGGCCCGCCGGAGTCGATGCGGGAGCACGTGGTGGCGGCGTCCAAGGCCATGAAGACGGGGGACTGGCGGCGCTGCCACCGCTACGTCGTCAACGAGAAGATGAACGGGAAGGTCTGGGACCTGTTCCCCGAGGCCGACCAGGTGCGCGCCATGCTCGTCAGGTGAGGGGCTCGTCAGGTGAGGGGCTCGCCGGGGGGTCGCGCTGGGGGGCGGTGGGGTAGGGAAGGGGGCGGGCAGTGGGGCGGGTAGTGGGTCGGTCAATGGGTTGGTCAATGGGTTGGTCAATGGGTTGGTCAATGGTCAATCTATGGGTTGGTCAATGGGTCAGTCAATGGGTCATTGGGTCAATGGTTAATCTATGGGTTGGTCAATGGGTCAATCCATGGGTCGGTCAATGGGTTGGTCAATGGGTCACTCAATGGGTTGGTCAATGGGTTGGTCAATGGGTCAGTCCATGGGTCATTGGGTCAATCCATGGGTTGGTCAATTGGTCAGTCAATGGGTTGGTCAATGGTCAGTCCATGGGTCATTGGGTCAGTCCATGGGTTGGTCAATTGGTCAGTCAATGGGTTGGTCAATGGTCAGTCCATGGGTCATTGGGTCAGTCCATGGGTTGGTCAATTGGTCAGTCAATG